CTGGAAAAGCAGCAGGCAGGGATAATTTTGTCCTCTGTTATAGTTCAAATCTGACTGCAAAGGCCGTCATCTGACTTCCAGATGTTTCAAACAGCTTCTCATGTGCAGCCAAGACCTGATTCAGTAAAGAAAATCACAGAGACAGCTTCTCCCATTTTCAGTCTCTTTCTTTCCATCTCAGTCTGACCCTTACCTTCACTCCTGCACTATTATACATATGATGCATTGCACGCACCATAAGGCATAAAACCCAGCTTTTTGAAGACTTTGAACTGTCTCAAACTCTCCCCAACTTTTTTATTCACCCTCACTCAGTTGCCACTCAGTAACTCCGCACTTATGCAAACCTTTCAGGTTGGATGAGTCTGCGAAACCTTGGCTAAGCTCTTTGCTGTAGTATAAAGGACCTGTGTTAGCTGAGGACACGCATGTCTTCTATCCGTGTTTGAATTACAGGTCAGAAATCAGGCTCCTTTCATTATTTAAACTCTGTTTATAAAGCGCGAGTGTCACGAACTCCTCCTCCTGACCACCCCCTACGGACCCAACTAGCGGACTTCTACACTTCCCAGCATTCCCATCACCAGCGTGGCTCGTCGACGTCATCACGCCGACTCTATTTACGGAAGTGCCGCCACTCATTCATCACTCAGTCATCGTTCATACCAGACATCGACCCGAGTTCTCAGGCTTACCAGCCCTCAAACCAGGAAAGGGATCTTTCCACGCTGTCTACCACCAGTAAGTCAGCTTCCTTATTTATTCGGAACTGCTGCTCAGTCTCGGCTCTTTCCGAGCTCTGCGCCGCCGTTCCCAGATCAAAACCGCGTACTCTGTTTAACCCAATGCTAGCCACTCCGCGTCTGGGTCACGCAGTTACGCTACAAGCAACCTCTGCTACACTTCAGCTCAGCCAATCGAACCTGACAGGATGACTGAGTCTAAGGTTGACCCAGCGGAGTTTGCTCACCTACGTGCAGAAGTGGCTCAACTTCGCACCCTTGTAGATCGACAGACGGCAGACATGACCCAGCTTCGTGCCGTAGCAGATCGCCAAGCCTCTAAGCTTGAGTCTCTTACCGAGCTAGTTGTCCAGCTCTCCACTGCCCTCCAACGACAGGCCTCAGCCGTCACTGACAACATGGAATGACGTCTCAGTCTCCCAGACAAGTGGGGTGGGACCAGGGGGTCCCCGGAAGGCATGCTGGCCACCCTGGCAATGACGTTTGAGTGCCAGCCGGTGCGCTACCCCACGTCCTGTTCTCGCGTCGCCCTGCTGACCTCCCTGCTGACGGGTCGGGCCGGTGAATGGGCGGCGGCTCTTTATAATCAGAAGTCTCCTGTCTGCAACAGTTATGAGACTTTCGTGAAGGAGATGAAGAAGGCATTTGTACATCCCAGCAGCGAGGTTGCGGATGAGACCCGACTGCTTCAACTCTGCCAGGGCTCCCAGACGGTGGCCCATTACACCTCCCGCTTCCAGACCACGGCTGCTCGGTTGACTTGGGACACTGCCGCCCTGAAGGCCGTTTACCTGGAGGGGTTGTCCCCCCAAATCCGTGAGGGCATGATTGGACATGAGGCCCCAACCTCCCTGGACCTGGCGGTGGACCTGGCCCTCCAATTGGACTGCTGCATCCTTAACCGACCGAGTGCCATGTCGACTCCCGTTCACACCAGAATGTCACCCCGTCGACAGGGCAGCCAACCGACGGAGGAACCCATGTAGCTGGGACATCTTCCCCCTGAGGAACGGGCGTGGCGTTACCATGAAGGACGATGCGCCTACTGTGGGGGTTTGGGCCACCACCGTGGCAAGTGCCCGAGACGACCGGGAAACGGTCCCTCCGGGTCGGAGTAGGGGCTGTCCCGCCCGGAGTCTCCACTTTTCCAGTCCCACATCGCACCACCCTCCCGGTCTCCCTCCAACTGGACCAAGGTCCGGCCCGACTGGAGGCTCTTCTCGACACCGGCGCCGCTGAATGTTTCATCGACCAGGGACTGGTCACCCAGTTCAAGATACCCCTTACCGCTCTAGACCGACCCATTCCTGTCAAATCAGTGGACGGCCGCCCACTCATGCCGTATCCTCTCACCCACCGAACCCAGGACCTCCACATGACCATCAATCAACACCTGGAGACCCTTCACTTCCTGGTCATTCAGGCCCCGGCTACTCCCCTCATCTTGGGTCACTCCTGGTTCTGCCGCCATGAGCCTCACATATCCTGGTCCACCAGTAAGGTCATGGCCTGGGGTGCGGGTTGCCAGACCCACTGTAGTTCACCTGCACCCCGGACTCGATCAACACCTCCCAGGGATGTAGACCTGACACTCATTCCTCCACAGTACCACGACCTCGCTCAGGTCTTTGCCAAGGAACCCACTACCAGATTACCTCTCATCTGCCTTATGACCTGGAGATCAGGCTCCAGCCCGGTACTACCCCGCCCCTGGGTCGTCTATACTTTCTCTCCCCGGCGGAGACCCGGGCAATGGACTCCTACATAACCGAGGCCCTCCAGAAGGGGTTCATCCGCCACTCCACATCCCCCAGTGCCGCAGGGTTTTTTTTGTGAAGAAGAAGGAGGGGGATCTCCGGTCCTGTATTGACTACCGGGGGTTGAACAAGATAACAATCCGGGATCGTCACCCTCTTCCTCTCATGGGTACCGCTCTGGACGCCATCACCCAAGCTGCCCTCTTCACCAAACTGGACCTGCGCAGTGCTTATAACCTGATCCGCATCAAGGAGGGGGAGGAGTGGAAGACCCCTTTCATCACACCAACCGGCCACTATGAGTACCTAGTTATGCCTTTTGGCCTCTGCAATAGTCCCGCGGTTTTCCAGCGATTCATCACAGATGTACTGAGACATGTTGGGCCGCTGGGTTTTCATATATCTGGATGACATACTCATATACTCTCACATGGCCGAAGAACACATCCGGCATGTTCGGGCCATTCTGTTCCCAGATCAAAGCCGCATGCTCTGTTTAACTCAACGCTAGCCACTCCGCATCTGGGTCACGCAGTTACTCAACTCAACTCAACTCAACTTTATTTATAAATCGCGCCTTACAGGCAAAAAGATGCCACCAAGGCGCTACACTGATCAAATAAAAACATAAAAGAGTAAGTCCAGAAAATAAAACATTGTATCACACGATACAGTTAAAACTACAGTGAGTAAAATCGCTATAAGTAAAACAATAAAACTAGTTAGAAAGGTTAAAAGACAGGTCATAAAAATATGTTTTTAGCCTTTCCTTAAAAACCGCAACAGAGGTGGAGGCCCTTATGCTGAGAGGAATCTTATTCCAAAGCTTAGGACCTGCCACAGCAAAAGCCCTATCACCACGCGTCTTTAGGCGCGTTCTTGGGACCGAGAGGAGCATGAAGTTCTCCGAGTGGAGTGACCGTGAAGGGGTGTATGGTTGAAGTAGTGACACCAAGTAAGGAGGGGCTAAACCATTTAACGTTTTAAAAACTAGTAAAAGTATTTTAAAATGAATCCTAACATCAACGGGCAGCCAGTGAAGCGCAGCCAGGACAGGAGTTATGTGGTCAAACTTGCGCCTGCCCTCTAAAAATCTAGCAGCAGCATTCTGGACCATTTGCAACCTGGCTATTGAGCCCTTGCTCACACCGAATAGAACAGAGTTGCAGTAGTCCAATCGCACCGTAATAAAAGCATGGACCACCGTCTCAAGATCATGACGTGACAGAAATGGTTTGATCTTTGCCAGCCAGTTACTCTACAAGCAACCTCCACTACACTTCAGCTCAGCCAATTGAACCCGACAGGGAGCAGCACCAACACTTTTTGAACTGGCTCGACTCAATGAGGAATCCCAGACAATCTATTCACCCTCCATCCTCCAGGCAGCAGTTTGAGCAGCCTCAAGGCTGGAGAATGAACTGTGACATTTAACCCTTTATAGTGTAAGCAACCATATCAGATCACTTGTATTGTTGATCTTCATTTGCACCTAAAACATGAAACTTCTTCAAATTAAGGAGAATATGATAAAGTAGAAGGATGTAGCAACACTCAAAGGTTGGAGCTTAAACTCTCCAGATGTTGTTCCATTTTTATGAATTAAATATTTATCAATTCATTTATTTATTTAAGATGGACCAAATAACACATTTCAATCTTTCAACTTGGCCCCACCACTGTGACCCTTCAAAGCTGGGGTGCATCATTTAGCATTTAAAAAAAATGTTTCAACTTATCTTTCTGACCCCGTTCATTAAAAGTAGGTCATCTTTCCTAGTCTGTATTTTTAAGTCCCTCCCTGGCTTCCACAGCAAACATTGATATCAATGCCTCCTTCATGAAAACACATCTTTGATGGATGGCACAAAGCTGGATTGGTCCACTGAAAGAGGAGAGAGGTGACTGCATGGGTCTCTATTTTCTGGCAGCCTGATCAATTGCCAGGATACATTCATTTCCTCAAACAACCACCAATTACGACTAACTACCAGCGTAAGGATAAAGAAGATCAAGTAAAAAAATCATTTGAAGACACTTTGGGTTAACTTGTTATGATTTCATCTCCTAAATCTTCTTCTGATCATTATCACACAGGATGTTTTAAATCAAATGGCTTTTGGGCCAAGCTTCATTCTGCAGGGCTGCCTTCTTGTCCAAACTTTGCCACTGAATGGCCCATTAAATGTCAGAAGGTTACTAATGACTGTTTACAAAGCAAAGGGTAATCCCAAATTATCTGACAATGCAAGAGCTACGTATACAGGTAATAAGCACCTGTGTTATCGCTGTTAGCAGCCCAGACAAAATGCTTGCAGGACCATTGATGTTATTTCAGACAAAGAGGCTGTTTTAACGATCCAGTGGAACTACATGTCCGTCAGCCTGATGCCGCTGTGGCTGGGTGTTCCCTAAAGGAAACCTGAAGTGGGTGTTCATGACTGCAAGACAAAAAGTGAGCCACAGAGAGTCACGACAAGCAGACTGTGCTGCAACTTGCCTCATCGGTGATGACGAGAGTGAGCTGCTCTGTCTGGAGCTGCTCGAAGGAGTCTGCATCCTTTCCGAGGCCATCTCACTTCAGCTCAGGGTCTGGAAACATGAACACAAACATGGCATGAAATTACTATGATGTCATTCTATGATACACTTGATGTTTAAATCAAATTGTGGAAGCTTGCACTGTTGCACATCATTGTTCATTTCCCGTTAAACGCAGCAAAGTGTCACATCTTGGTGGCTTTTTTTTGGGGGGGGGGGGGGGGGGACTGCAGTGTTATTCCCTACAGTATCTCCTTATTGATCCGCCTCCAAGCATTCTATTCCTGTCGTGTAATTCAATTATCAATAAACCTCCCTGTTTTAAGTAGCTGGTGAGCCAGTGAAATAATATTTCTTATCTTCTAATTTAATGGCAAGCTGCCATCCAATGACTCTCTTTCCCATTTTTGAGCCTGAGCAAAGAGGCTGACGCTCTTAAGTGCCCACAACTTTATTCTGCTGTTTTATTGATGTATCCCATTTAGATTAGTCCGTTTTCAATCGGGTAGAAGCCGCAGCTGCCCTCCTGCCCAAACCCTGCTCTAATCCTTTTAGGTAATGACATCCTCCAGCGGTGGTTACACAGTTTGTGTCTGTGCCAGGTATAATTAGCAGGTAGTTACAAACGAGATCTTTGTTGCACACATGCTCTCGGACTATTATGTCTGACTGAACACTTTTGGTTTCAATAGATGCAGACACACAAAGTCCTAATTAAGGAAGTGAGGAAAGAAATATGAGAGGCGTGCATTGCGTTATTTGCTCACTGCAATGTCCAAGCTGATCTGAACGCTTTGGTGTGCAAACAGCCACAGAGATGGGACAACTGATACATTTTGGGGAGCTCTGAGGCAGAGGATAAGATGTTAAAGGAGTCTCCCGTTGTGTTTGCTTTGATTATAATGATTTTGCAATTACCAGCAGCAGAAATAGGGAATTTGATGATGCTCAGGTAACAAAAGCAGGCTTAATATAGGCTCAGGCTGATGCAGATGGATGAATATGGTGGATGTTAGGGATGAGTGAGTACACCACTATCTGTATCTGTTCAACCAACTAAATTATCTGTATCTGTACTCGGAATGGGCGTGGCATAACCCGGAAGTGGGCGTGGTTTAACTGAGAGTGGGTGTGGTTTACATCAATATATTATTTTAAGTCTGAAATTGATAAGGAATGATCAGAAGTTGATATGTGTATTGTTTATTTGAAAACTATTTACAGAGCAGCCTCAGAAATATTTTTGATCAAAATAGTAAAGAAACTATTACAGAACAAGTTTTTCAGTAAAATCAGAACATTAATATTTAAGTGCATGGATTAATACATCTGAACTCATGCAGTAGGAACTAGGAAATATGAAATGCTAGAACCAGACACAACTTTATATATATATATATATTTTTTATTTGATTAAACAGATTTTTTTCTTAATGTTCTTGGCATTTTGCCCCACACAAAGTTAAACAAAACAATGTGGATTAAGGTGTGTGTGTGTCTGAGAGAGATATAGAGATAGAGAGGGTGAGAAATGGCGTTAAAAAAATTAAAAAAACAGACCAGAGCGGAGGTAGTGAGTTAATGCAGCACGTCAGCTCTGTTTTGTCAAATGCACCACGTAAGTTACGAAAAAAGTAACTTTAAATATTCAACCGAAAAAGAGGCGAGCTGAAGAAAACCTAGGGAAAACTGAAGAAATGTTAGCAACAGAGAAGCAATCACAGCAAGATCCATTACTGTCTGTGTGTGTGCGTGGATGAGCCGGACGGACTGTGCTCCCGGCCGGCTAGAGAGTTTTGTGTGTAGGGAGGGGCGGGCGCTCTATGTGACTGGCCAATCACAGTGCGTGAAGACAGTCAGTTACCCAATGAGGATTTTCCTTCAGCACGATTACAGATATTTCCGAGGTTTACTCGTTTCATGCTCGTATTCGTCAAAAATGCTTTATCCGTACCAGATACTCGTCTGAAACGAGTATCCGGCTCATCCCTAGTGGATGTCCTCAAAATATTCACAGAGAGGAAGGGGGGAGACTCCTTTTAACTGCAGTCTTGGCACAGTTTCTTCAGGGCCATTTTCAGAGAAAGCATCACAGTGGTTCAGAAACATTACTAGTTCTGCGCCAGCACTAAGGAGGACTAGTAAACCTGAACATGTCGTGACAGAAGGAGAAACATCTTTGGCTGTGGTAATAAGTGATGGAAGTGCCTGAAACAGTTAAATATCTAAATTATAAGTGTTGTAATAAAAGTGTAGATGAGTTACATTGACCCCATAATTGAGGAGAAGGTCAAAGCCATCAAGTCACACTTGCAGCAGATTCCATTACATGTGCCTCCGGCTCATTATAGGGCTCTTCTTTGGATTACTCTACAAATGAAGATGAGTTGTTCAACCAAACAATTTAGTCCTGGGCTCTTATAGTAAATGCTGTGTTAAGGACCATCGCACTGGAGATGTTAACTTTTGTTCTGCTTTCAGTAGCCCCTCAGAATTTATTGCTGTTTTTCCAGACAAAACTTTATTTAGAAGCTAAAGTAGCTCATATTTTTTATTGTAAAACCAAGAATAGAAGCTTCACAGGCCGAGAAATGCAAGAGTTACAGAACATTTCTTGAGCATGTGGTCTCCCACTTCTTTGCTGTCCAGGACATTTGATTTTGTGTCTAGGCTGAAACCTGAGTGGACCCAGTGGGTTTCCCCCTTAGGTTGCCTTGGTGAACATCTGGGTTGTAGGTGAGCTAAACAAAGGATACCTCTGTCTAGGCTTCAGGTCACACACTAGGTAAAATAACAGCCACCCACTGACTTGTGTTGGAGAAATCACCAGGGTGTGCACTCACATTCACTGTATGCTTGTTTTCATTTTTTAATGTGTGCAAGGGTGGTATTTAAATAGTGGAGTAAGTATGCCTGTGTGCATGTCGCTATCACTTAACATTTCCACCCATGCTTTGTTGTTTTCCATTTGCAGTTAGTCAGATGCAGTTGCAGCTATCGGTGTGAAATAGTTTGGTTTTGCTCCAGTGGGTTCCATACTTTCCTCTATTGGTTCACTTACTTTTAATTCTATGATTAAGGGTTACACGCACAAGCATTCTCTTATTGTCAGGTTTGTCTGTATGATTTTCCTCCCATATTGTGGAAAAACCTGTTTAACCCAGTCAGGAAGAGTGACATGTCTTCTGGTGGTAGTACATCATAAAGCAGACAAAATTAGAAAAAATCAGAAAAACAACTATGTGATAATGATGAAATACCCTCTCTATAGGGCTATAGCTCAAGAAGACTTTACAAACAACATTGAAAGGTCAGCTGGGCCTTGAGAGTTGGACTATATGTGTCTGAACGGACCTTCTAGTATCTCTACACAGCTACGAATGTGATATATTCTTACTCAGATAAAGGTCTCTCAGAACCTTTCCCCTACAGAACCAATTATACAATAAAATAAGAGTTTCATCAACTCTTTTTTTGACTGAAAGTTTTTGTTGTTGTAACAGGATTTAACAGTTTCATCTCAAATCCCTGCAAAGAGCAGACTGTTCTCTCTGAAGCTGACAAAGTGCTCTTTTAAATAAAAGCTCATATGTTCCTCTGAAAGTAAAGACCTTTTCAATCTGTCAAAACACAAATGTGTGATCATCAGACTCTTCTGCCACCATATATAGTCTGGCGGTAGACAAGGCTCTGCCGTGGGGCGGAATCTAAGTTTGTCTTTCAAACTGTCTCTGCACACAATTGGACAGCTCTAGGACCAATCAGAACAACAAACAATGCAACATATTAATAGTTGTGAAAATCAGTCAATGAGGCAGTCTGCCAAAGGGAGTCTTAAGTCTCCTCCTTTGCTGGTTGGCTCATGGGTCCCTGGAAGAATGAAAAAATGCAAGTGAATGGGGCAAAAGAAGCTATTTTCTAATTTAATCGATCAAAATGAAAAGTAATGATGTGTTTTGACCACGCCAGTCACGTACTTTGAGATTTATCAGCTTGTAAAAATTCATAATTCCTATGACTACAATTCAGACGTCGGCACGTCACTAATATGACCACAGAATCTGCTCTCCCTTAGCGTAGCTGCTACTTACCACATGGAGGTTCTTCTTCCATGATAAAGGATTCCAAGTTCACTAAACTTACAGCAATTTCCCTCTGCTTTTTCTCCGTGTCTGGTTCGATGAAGTCAATTAGGTGATGTGCATTTGTAGTCATACAGGTCTTTTCACACAAAACCTGAAAAAAACTTTTGCCCCGTTTAAAATATTGGCATCAGAATGTGTCTAAAAATCACGGACATTATTGTGAAATCCATGGCACATAACAAACGGGATTAGAAAATAGCTTTTATAGCACCATGGACTTGCATTCAGTGGCTGGGGAGAGAAAGTCTGGGCCTCCCTGCTTGGGCTACTGCCCCCGTGACCCGACCCCATATGAATTGCCAAAAATGGATGGATGGATGGATGGACTTGCATTAATTTGTTCTTACTTCCAAGGACCCATGGTCCGGAAGCAAATGTGCGTGACTAACCCCTCCTTTCCACCGGAGCCGTGACGGAGCCGTCAGCAGCCCGTTACTGCAGCAGCACGTCATAACTGCTGATAGGAACCGCTGTGGTCAACAGAACCTTTTCCACTGGAGCCGTCAGCAGCGCGAGTCGGCCGCGTCTCAGGAGCAGCATGTCGCGGCCTTTACGCACCGGTTCTATTTTCTACGCGCTACGCCTCTGAAACGGGTCAAGTTTGACATTTTTGGGGAAGGAAAGACAGGAAATCGGACGCGGAAACGGAGCGAAGCTTCCCGAGATTTTCAGAATAAAGAAACGTACTGCCTTCCGGTTGCTTTACTTTAAAAAGAAGTTATCACCTAGCTAGCGGTCTCCTTTGTTTTTCCATAACGGATGACGAAAGGTTGATTACTGAAGTGGAGAAGTACCCAATCCTGTTTGATCCCAGTCACAGTTTTTATAAAGACAACGTCAAGAAGGATAACGCATGGAGTGACGTATTTGCTGTTTTGGGGCAAGATGGTGAGTTATGTGAGCCAT